AATATTATACTACAGGTATTACTGTCATGTTTGAAGTTGTAACTTCAAGCTTCTGAAATTACACTGACTGAAATTAGCACTTTCTTGCATGTATTAGTTAGTAAATTTAGATAAGGTTAACTTCAGATGCTTGAAGTTACAATTTCAAGCAGATGCTAATTTCAAGTACAGGATTATTATAAATATTACCTTTTTGATATTGAGTGAATATTTGTTTGTGTTAGATCAATTGTATCTTGAGTAGGTGTTTCCTAAAATTTTTAATATTTATTAAAATTTGTCATTAAAATTTGTATATAAATCACGAATTTATTGAAACTACAATTTTTGTCAAGGTAATTTCTAAAATTTTTTTTTTTTGACACAAATAATTATTTATGACCAACTTTATATTATTAGCTTTTGGAAGGTTTTATATAGATACCGCCTATTTTTTTTCATTAATCAAAATTTGACAAAACTTCATTATGGCGTATTTGTTATCCAATTTTAGTTATTAAATTATATATTAATCAATCGATGCTAAGCTCTGAAAAATTTTTGGATCATTGATCTATATTGATGATATGTCTAACCTGTCTTTCCACTATCTAACCCATTTTGTCACACCTTATTAGATATACAGTGATGTACCCTAGCCTAAAGATATTGATTAGCATAGTCAAAAGTTGGTATTATATACAAGTAGTCAAATTTTTCTATTTTATAAATGCACTGTAATGCTTAGGTTTAGAGTAAATAAGAAATAATTTTTTTAGTTGAATTATACTGACAAGTGTAAGTCTTTTAGCTTTAGATTTTAGGAATTCTTGATATCATACTAGAATATAATAAGCTAAAATACCTTTGGTAGGCAATCTTAGCTAACAAATCTTACCATCAAGTTTTTCAAGTTTTCCTGACATTTTAGTATTTGATTTATTCTGATCTGTTAAATAATAAATGAAATAATTAAATTTAGATTGACAAAAATTAATATTATTATATAATAAAATGTATACTTTGAAATGCAATATTGGTATAGTCCAAGACTTAGGAGGTACTGTGTGTCTTGATAATGTTGGTTCTGGTTTATTAAAAATATAATCTTTTGTAATTTTTGTAATTTGTTCAGATGTATATTTTTTTCATAATCCTAATCATGGTAACGACCTAGCCAAAATATAGCCAGCTTCCTCTTTCTCATCTAGCCAAGCCCATTCATGCCAGTTAGAAATTCTATGCATTATTCTCAATTTGTTTTGTTTGGCTTGATTAATTAATACTTATTACTTTTTTAAACTAGAAAAAGTAAAATATACAATCAAATATACAAACCTTCACAATTAGGTATGATATTTGCAATGTGAGTTCCTGCCAAATCCTTTATTGCATCTTGTATTTCCTCACCTGATTCAATATCGCATCCCATTTTTACCCACTGTTTTATAGCATATGTTAACTAAGTAAATAGCAATAATAGCTTATTAGAATTACTAATTACAAAATAAGTTTATTGTTGCAAATTATAAGAAAATCAGTTCAAAATAAAATTTAAACTTTTCAAACTCATGTATACTTTTATTAATAACTCTAACTTAAAGGTTAAAAATTCTATTTTGAACTAATTTTATTTTAATCCTTATATTTAGATACTTGGACATGATGTGAATCAATTGCCATTTTCACTTCACCTGCCTCAAGAAAAATCCATTTGTATACTGTAACTCTATACTATTCTTTTCAATGAGCCATTATTATCATTAATTCCATATTGTAATAATGTGGTCCATTATCAGAAAAAATACTAATCCAATTTGGTTTTATTTCGATTGTTTCTATTACTCTATAAAGTGAAGATACAGTGAACCAGGCATCTTGTTTACTATCACCACTCCAATGATCAAATGCATGGATATTAATTTTACCAGTATCAGAATCCTTCATATACATTAAAACTGAATAGAGTGACTACCCACATTTACCAAAAAACTTAGCCTTTGTTTTTTGAGATTTTTGATATAAAATTTTCATTTTATAGTCAACGATTATTAATGTGCCCTCTGAACTAAGTTGTGCAAGATCAGCATTTAGTTGTATATTAAAGTATGTTTTCTGTGCATGATGGGCTTGAAAATATATAAGTTTAGTCTAATACTCATTTAAAATCTCATGAATCTCTGCAGGGGTATTAGCCTTTGTTTCATCAAAAAAAATAAACGATATTTTACAATTTTTACATATCTCTAAATGAGCTAGATCACAATCGCCAAATGCATGCCGTAAACAATAACTTATACAAGGATCATGAATAGTATGACCTAACGGATTAATAGTAAGTTTCGTGGTATAATCTCTTTGTAAATATCATCTCAAATTTTGTGCTTGTGCACTTAATTTATCCTATATTTAAATATTAGAAACACAATTAATATATATTGTAAATATATATATATTGTTTTCAAGTTGATTATAAAGAATTTTCATGATTATCATATTATTATTATATTTCTATTAGAAATATAATAATAATATGATAATTGTGAAGAATCTTTACAATTAATAACAAAAAAAAATTTTTAAATGACTATGATATGAAGATTGCACTTGCTACACAAAATGTCTAATTGATTGAAGTTATTTTATACTATCTTTTAAAATATTGGCTGACCTGAATAGTACTATACGGGCAAGATATATATGACTTATAAGAGTATTTGGTATGTATTTTCAAAAATACTGGTAATTGTAATCAATCGAGTATGTAGTAAAACTATACTTAGAGTATATGTAATATATATACTCTAAGTATAGTTTTACTATATACTCAACCAAATAATACTTTGTACTATAAAAATATATATGTCATTATATAATATGTATGGAGTATTATATAGGCAAAAAGTATAAACATATTACAAAACTGGTTATATTTGTCCAAGATAAGTGATTTTTTCTATCGCTATGATACAATATTATATATATATAATTTATATATATATATAATTTATATATATATATAATTTATATATATATATAATTTATATATATATATATTTAACTTACATACCTGAAGATCATTATTACTAATGTGTAACTTTAAAAGTTTTTCGATTTCTTCAAATATCTCATATCCAAGTTCATTGCAAGTTGAATATATTCTACCAAGATTATCCTTATACACATATCGGCCACCTTGTAAGTGAGTTATAAATGATATACGTTGCATTCCGTTTGGATATTTTTCATGAAATTTTTCCAATAAGGCTTTTTTATAGTTTTGAAGATACAGAATAGATAAGCCAGTTGATGTTTCAGTTCTTTATGATGACATATTTACATTTTCTTTGTCAGCAAAAAAGAGTTCAAATTGATTTAGTTGTTTTTCTGTAAATTTTACATGGTGAATAATTGGTTTTACAAGAGGGTGCACTATGACTATAAGACTTTGCATATTTATGGGCTTTGGAGATTGTATGACAACCAACCTTTTAATTTTAAATAATTAATTTTATATATATTATTTAACCTACAAAGAAAGCTTACATCTAAATTTTCTTCTAATTCATTATAGATAAAATCTTCAGAAATTATCGATAAAATATGTCATTTCCCATCCAAAGTTTTTTTGTTATTACTTAAGGCACACGAAAAAGAGTTCCAGAAGATATGTGTTGCATTTGGCATATGAATATGTACACTTATTAGAAATCCCGATTCATAGAATTGTTTAAGTATTGCAAAATCATGGTCTGGTAGGTTAGAATTTGTTCAGAATTGATACTGATTTAATAAAGTGAAAATAAGGTTTATATTATAAATTTTCATAAGTATTAGTCAGGTAAAACTTTTATTATATATTTTTAATTCTGTGTAAGACCAAGGTGTTATGTCATGAGTACCAGCAGTGCAAACATTGATCACCATGTATTAAGCTCTCGATTACTAAACCAATAATCTTTAGGATATAGTGAAATAATCGCAGAATTTAGCTCAATAATACTACTTTCTTGTGCTAGCCAACTAATAAAAAGATCATGCCAGCTAATATCAGAAAGCGTTCTTCGTTTCACATGATAATCATAAAAAGTTTTAATAAGAGAAAAATCTTGCTATTGATTTGGCGCACAAGTGAGAATTTGATGTTGCTTTATTAATCGTTAAGTAACAACATAGTCAAGGCCAAAAAGTTGAATGCCATCATATTTGCTAATACTAAAATGCTCCCAAATATCATTTGGGGATGCTTCCTCAACCGCCTGCTTTAATTGTGAGTCTTGATAAACTTCAATTCTATATATATTATCCTCTATAGACAAAATATATAAATCTTGTTTTTTACCATATATATAAATTAATGATGATTAATAACCTGATTTATCCTTATTCTAATCTTTCTGTGAAGAAGACCCGATCTCAAAAACAAAAATTTTAATTTGACCCAAATTAAAAAAAAAGAAAAGAAAAAAACATCAACTAATAATTGTGAAACAATATCACAATCTGTTCAACCTATAATAAGTAGGCCCGAATAATGGGTTTTGGTATTAAAAATACTAGTATAAATTGAAGAAATAGCAGTACTAGGATCATGAACTGGAGTTTTAGTATAAAAAGTATTGCTTTGACAAGTATAACTAGGCAAATAGGGATTGTTAGAATGGCCAACTACTATAGTAATAATAAACTCATGATTATTAAGTATAACTTTAGTTTTTTGTCCAATATGAATAGAAAAATATAATATGTCATCAAAAACCTTATTTTTCTACCAATAACAAGAATACAGCTCATAATGTAAAGTCTCATCCAAAACACCTATTTCTAATAGAGTAACTTGGGCTTAACGTGCCATTTGGTAGATAAGCTTTAAATTCTAGCACTATAATAAATTTTATTATATCGATTATCCCCAATTTTTATAATAATCTGCATGTAATTAGTGCTGATCATAGCCGAATTAGCAATTAAATAATTAATTTAAAATATATATATTATTAAATTATAATATAAATACCATTATACAAGAATTATTGCATGACATATCTTCATTTTTTAAAGACATTTTTGATTCAATTATATAACCATCTATAGTATGTAAACATGTATATTTTTTACCATTATATAAAAATATAATATTATAATTTAAATATAAAAATGCAATATTTATATTATAATTATAAATACTGTATTTGTGCGTAATAACGCACATGGGCGTTATTTCAAAACTCACACTTTTTAAAAATTTGGTTTTTTGACTCAAAATAACGCCCATGCGCATCCCGAAATAACGCGCCCTTAAATATACCATATTACATATTTGATCGAATTTTTCAGGCTAAGTTCATTAATAAAACTTGGACTTCCTCTTGTAACCCAAATTTGTCAAAATGATTCGAATTACCGCGTATGCGCATCCTGAAATAACGTGCAGGGTCTCAAAATAATATGCACCTGCGCGTTATTACGTGCAAATACAGTAACTTACTTGTATTGCTTGAATATTTGAACTATAACTTTCTCAATACCATTAAAGTAAATGTTTAAATTCAAGACTTCTTGGATCAATTGTATAATATTTTGTAGACCACCAGAGTTCTTTATTATTACTATTAGTTTGATAAAATACTTTATCGCCAAGATCAATTTTTTATTATTTTTATCATTATAATTAATTAATATATATTTTAATCACTCTAATAAAAGAATATTATTAACTAAATTAGTATAAGGATAAAAATGTGAATTAATCATTGGTTAAAGTATTCCAATTAAATATTCTATTAGATATTATCAATGTGTCTATAAAAGACCAAAAATAAGTTTTTTACTGTGAGCTCTGTGATTACAATAAGAGAATTACAGACTTATTTTAGGATTCATATATTTTCCTTTATTGATAAATAATTTTAAAATATAAAGTGCTATCTATATGGTATTCATGGGCTCAAAAAAAAAAGTGATACAGATCATCAATCCAACTATTAAAATTTAAGAGTATAGTATATTCTGTCAAAACTGGTATGCATAGTAGACAGCTTTTGTATCAGCTTTGAGAGGTTATCAGATTTAAGATACTAATAACCTAATGGTTATATGATAATAGCTAAATATAATTAGTTAAATTATATTTTTGATTATACAAAATCAGATTTAAGCCAATTAAATCAATTAATTTTACTTTACAAACCTGATATCTTATAGATATCTGATATTTTGAGTATCGGTTATTAGAAATGTCAAGTTATTGGATTTGAATTATGGAACCAATATGGTGGATTAACTTTTCATCAGTTGTAAAAAGTTATCAGTTTTGACAAGTATACTGTATACAATAATTAAATACATTCTCTAATTGAAAATAATAATAGGATTTAAAAAAGAAATTTAAATTTAATATACTGATTAGAGTTAGAGTGGGATTTTTAGACTTTATAATCATCTGAATTTCACAATCAACTGTGATACTATATTTAATAAAGCTAAATATGTTAAAAATCATATAAATATGAATCGCAAATAGCCTTATTTTTTATTTTTATAATATTAAAAAAAAATAGAACCACTAAAATAATTTATGTTCAAAGTTGTTTTTCAAAATACACCTAAAAAGATCCCAAATCTAAATGAATATAATATTTGCATAATATGCATGTTTGAAATTAGTTTAACTCCTCAAAGCCCAATTATAGTTTTAACATGCTATTACTTTTTTCATGCCAAATACATTAACCTCTAGGCTTCTGAATCAGAATATTTTTGCTCTACTTGTCAAGATATAAATCTAAGAAAGACTTTAGAACAAAAAGACTTTATCAAAAATATCAATAAACAAGTTAATTCTATTGAACCTACTACTGTGAATACACTTATAGAATATACTCCTATACTGTTTATTACAATTGCCAACTCCATCAACTCTAATGATCCAGCTATATCTACTGTTACCAACACCAATTCTAATGCCATCTTCAGTAGTCCTGCTTCTGTTACTTTTACGATTACTGACTTTAAAAATCTAGCTATGCCTACTGTTACCAACTCTAGTAAATCTACTAAACCTGCCAAACCTGCCAAATCTACCAAACCAATAGCATTATTCAACTCCAGTAGCTTTAGTGGTTCTGATGAAGCTCTAAAAAAAGAAAGAATTTTTTTAGAAATTTTTGTTGAATTAATTACTCTTAACAAAGAAATGTCTAGAGTTAGTAGTAGTGAAGAAGAAAGTAAGAATGTATTATTAAGTTGGTCCAGCTTTATAATAAATCAAACATGTTAAAAATCAAGCAGCAATAGCATGCCAAGCTGAAATACTATCCTGGTATCAATATGCTAAAGAATTTGAAAACCAATTGAACAAAGAACTACAGAATAACAAAACAACTATGAACAAAGCCAAATCTAAGGTCTATAATGAAATAATCTTACATTGAACTGATATTAATAGAGAAGCTTTAAAAAAAGTACACAAAGAGCCTACATTGTATACAATTTGTTCAGGGCAATTGGTGTAGATAAAATTAATCAAATTAGACATCACAAGTTTGACACAATCTCAAAGCTTGCTAAACAACAAATTGAAACACTTATTTTAAGAGTACATTCTATGGAGCATTAAAGATAAAGGGATGTATGTTGTGAAAAGCTCGGACCCCACAATTTTTTTATTATTATTCTACTTTTGTCTTCTACCCTATATAAATATATATACTCAACTTAGTTAGTAGGACTTCGTGACTTTACAAATAAAATAATCCTTCTATTTACTATTTTTGGGCTTTACCTTTACCACTTTGTAAAACCTTGTAAAAATTATAAAAGTGATGTAACTCAAATGAGCCCTAACCTTTGAGATTTGAGTAGAAAGAAGTGTTAGCTTTAGTAGTTATTGTTGTAAAAGTTCTCTTGTTCCCATGATCCTACCATATTTTCAATTTTTAAAGAGTAAAGGGAAAGTATCGATTAGTAATCCAACCTATTTATATTAAAATCACAATTGATCAAACTTTGATCAACATCATTGTTAATATACATACTATACCACAGATTCTATTTTGGCACTTGATCACGTGCAATTGTTTTAATTATTATTTAAAGTTATGTGATAATATTTCTGACACCATGACTGTTATAAAGATTAATGGCACAAATGAAATACTTGGTAGATATAATCTATTAGTCTGGACATCTAATAATTCGTTTGAATGGTTTACAACAGATAATTTATTTTTCTAAAATTTATCAAATTTAAAACTCATCATGCTTAAATCGAGTCATGAGCAAAAAGCTTCTTGATTTTTAATTGACTCTCATTATGCCAGGCAATATTGGCACTATGCTGGGCAAAAATACTAGTGCCTAAGTGTCTGTAAGTTATAGTTATTGTATGGATATTTAAACCTTTTTATGTTGCTATTTACAGTAATTTTTTTCATTTGTTCGTAAAATTTTTTCTTACTTATTCAAACTTTAATTTTTCTTCTTTAAATATAGAACAGCAAGTTTACTATTGACGATCTTGAAGTTCAATGTTTTGAAGCAACTTTTTGATAAAAAAAAAAAAAACATCTCTACCAATTTGATGAACTACTTTATATAAACATATTTAATTAAACATTTATTTATTTAAAACTTTAACCTTACAAGAAAAAAAAACAGGCTCGAATTTAAATTTGGACCTCACATTGTCTGATACGAATGAAAAAAAGGTTGAGTTTTACCTTACATTGCGCCGAGATCTTGTCGGGTAAGCCGCTCACGTCTGCCGCTGATATATACAGCTTTGGGGTTATTATGACGGAAATTTCGACCGGGCACAGAGCTTTCAATAATCGTCAGTTCGATCTTAGTCTTTCAGTGGATATATGTGCAGGTTTGCGACAGGGGTTCGCTCAAGGAACTCCAGATTGTTACGTCAAATTGTATGGATGATAATCCCAAAGAAAGGCCTACTGCTAAATGTGTTAATGCGATAGTAACTGTTTGGATTGAAGAACTTATGAGCGAGAGTATAAATAACGAAATTAAAAAACAATTTTTAGACTTAAATGAAGTAAATTTGAATCACGAACCAATTAATCATTCAAATAATGAGTACACAAGTGCATACATCGATACACAAGTAATCACAGAAAATTTATCAAAGTTGTTTGTCCCTTGAGATTTTTTTTATCTCTTTCATTCTGTGAGAGTTTTTTATAAAAATCAAGAATTGCCTTTTATCATTTACGTTGCTCCCGAAATTAACATACGTCATTCGTAAATTTAAGAGTAACACACGTTAATTTCGCAATCGGTGAAACTTACAAAAAAAAGAAACGTTTTTTATAATTTAAATGCTTTAAAATTTTTTTTTTTTAAATTATCTATTTATACATCCAGTACATAGCAAATTCTATGAAAGTTTTTGGTTGCAGATTTATAAGGTGATCATTGTTTGTAATTTTTAATAAGTTCTTTATCATAAGTATCCATGTAATTTTTTTTATAACAAGTGTTATTTTTATATATTGTCTCTATACAATCTTTCCAAATAAATAAAAACCCTCCGCCATTGTTATAGTGAAACTTTAACAATGTTTATCCATTTGCCTTTTTTGAATTATGAAACTAGCAACAGTGGAGTCAAGAATGATTTCACCATCTCTGACTGATATAAATATAAATATAAATCATAAATATACGCATTTGCGAACTACCCCAAAATTTGAAAAATTTGACTACTAATATGTAATATAGATTTTGACTGAGATAATCAACATTACCAGGTTATGATGCGTCATTTAATAAATTCCTATGTCTGATGAGATGCGTCGAGAGTGGGAAGATGGGTTAGACGCATTATCGGTACAGATAGTTCGAAATTTTTTTTCTGAGTTTGACATTGATTAATTAATATACAATTTGGTAACTAAATTTAATTTTTGGGACCAATTGTCTGCTTAATTTCGCTAATGCGCCGTAATGTGGAAAGTTATATTTATAACACCGTATTATATAACACCCTATGCTAACCCTATGCTATATCTCAAAAACGTAAACGGGATCGGGTATCCTAAGTAAAAATGTTCAGGACCTTACATCTAATACGTATATATATATTGTATAAAAAAAACTCTATATATCTTAAAGCTGCACCCTAACCCTAATATAACTCAAATCAGATGGATATAATATTTCTGAAGATTATATTTTAGCCTAATAATACTGAAATTGGATCCTTACGCCAAAATCTTCAAAAAGTATCTCATATGATATGGGAAAAAAGTTAAAATCATTATAGTGTACAGCATTTGATCAAGAAATTCTTATAATCGCGATTAATAACAGTAAAATATATTACGCAATGCATATATTGCTTGTAGGACTTCATCAGTTGTATTGAAAAAATCAGAATTATACGGAGCTATTCCTTACATAGCTCCCAAGCTAGGAATTCACACAATAAGAGCTTTTAATGATCGCGATAAGGATTTGTCAAGATGAACATCCAGAATTCGATCCCGGTGCACCGGAATTATACATGGAATTAGCAAAACAATATATTGATTCTAGCTAAAATGACTTTGTTTATGTGAACCACACTGGAGCTTTAGACTTGCAATTACATGAAACTTTGTTAAATAGCGAAAATAAGTTCAAAATTTACAGGCAAACAAAAATAGTTCCTTTCTTAAATTAATTAGTCGTCCAGTCAGGTCGTAAAGATGCTATGCCGAGTTTGGATTAGGGTATTAAACTTTAAATAAGATATGTGAAAAAAAAGAAGTGACGTAAGTGTTTTACATAGAAGTAAAATCATTATGTAGCATATTACATGAAAGCACAGTATCAATATGTAACTGTAAATAGTAGGTAATATGTTTATACACGGTAAATTATACCATCGTGTGGGAAAAAGAAATACAGAATGAAGAGAAAATAGGTAGAAAAGATGAAAAATCGCACAGAAGACAAGATATAAATAATAAATCGTTCAGTGTTTATATGATAAGGGATCACTCAGAAACAGCATGTTTTCTCCAGAGAATTGAAAAATCGTTTATACATGTTCAGTTTCCCCATCGTCATTTCTACATTGTTTATGGATGATGGCGTGTCAATTACTAAAATTACTCCGCTTCATTACCATGACGTCATAATGTGTATTACCTTTGCATTACAAACAATACGGCTATAAAAAAATACTATATAAGGTATGTGTCTAACGCTAACGCTAATACACAAGCTAAATAAGTGCGTACTAAATTTAGAAAATAAGTAATACGAAATATAAATCCAACCAAATAAGAGAAACGAAAAAATGAACGGGACGAATGTTACATCGAAATAAGTTGTTCCTTAAATGAATACAAGTTATACTTAAAAAAATTTTATGCAACATTGCGTATTTTAAATTTCTTAGTTTTAGCAGCGTTCTCTGCAAATTGATAAAAATACTGCATATTTTCGATCATATTCTAATTCATGAAAAATGTTACCTTTCTATGCATCGGTTCTAAAATTCCGTAATATACTAACACTAATGCTAATGCTTTGTCAAACAAATAAACAAATAAATCACAAGCTGTCGCAGATCGACAAAACCGGTTATATTATGTCTTTCATAACTAAATGTAGAAACACTTTTGCTGCAATATAAATATGTATATGCGTACGGACGTTCTAGAGTTGTTCACACTACTTTTTTAAGAAAAAAAGTTTTTTTTTTTGTTTTTTTACCACTAACATAACTCAACGCTTAGATTTAATTAGTGATGTCTCAACAAAAACCTCCCCATGATTATACTCCCAGTTTAAAGGGAGAATATAATAAGCCTGGAGGAATAACTTATGTGGCTACCCAGACACTCGGTGCCGTCCAAACTGTAGGAGATGCAATTACTCCATTCGTTCCCTTATTCAACATGGTTACGAACATACTTAAACAAATGTTAGAGATTTATGATAATGCAAAATGTAATAAAAAAATATGTGCTGCTTTATTAGATCGTGTCGAAATTGCAGAAACTGCTGTTAAATCATTGCAACGTAAATATCAGGCAAATGAAAAAAATTTTAGAAATCAAGATTATTATCATGCTTGGGTTAGATTTGTTAATGTTTTGGAGAATATTAGGAAGTTTGCTAAAGAAGTTACGCAATTGACATATTTTCAAAAGTTTTTAAATTCTAGCGCTGTCAAAGATGCTTTTGAAAAAAATACTAAAGAACTTGATGAAGTTTGTAGCGATTTAAACTTTACAATGGCTATGTACAGTAATGAACAAAGAGAACAGGAGGCAAAAAATGTAGCAGAAGATCTTGAAATTTTGAAAAAGGTATTCTTCATATAATTTAATTGATTTATATAAATCCTTTTTTCCGCTAATATCAGATGTATTTATCTATGCTCCTCAATAAATTCAATATGTATATAGTCAATGAACGATATGAAGGATGAACTAAAGGAAAGCATTAGATTAGTTAATACGTTGCTATCAAACGCAAATGCTCCCGCGGATAAAATGGTACCTCTGATCGATGAGTATAAAGTTCCCATTGTGGATCCAAGAGAATTAACTGAACCATACTCTTCTACCGATAACGTTCGAGGAAATAATAATACTGTCCATAAAAAAATTTACCGTGGAATAGAGGTTGCGTGTAAAAAATTTCATTTGGCTAAAAAGACTGACGGATCGGCAGGAAATCTCGGTCAAGCAAATGAGAACAAACAGCAGATAGAATTAGCTGCACTTCTCAAATTAGGTACCTGTCCGTTCATTATCTACTTTTATGGGATTTCGCATGTGGACAATAATGACCTTATGATTTACGATTGGGCTACACATGGCAATCTACGCGAAATGTATTTAAGATTTGATATCGATTGGCCCACAAAATTGCAGCTTGCACGTGATATATTTAGCGGTTTAGTATTCATGCATCAATGTAATCTTTATCATCATGATGTTCGTTGTGAGAATATCTTGGTATGTATTTAACTCAAAGACAAAAATCGTCAATTTGATTTCTTAGTCAATTTGTGACTGACAGTTTCAGTTGACTGATTAATCAATTAAAATTTTTAACTTTTCATAATTGACATCTTAGTATCAATTGACTATTTTTTATTAATAATAATAGATCACTGATAGATGTGAGCCTAAAATTTCAAATTTCGAACTCAGTCGCTCTTTAACAGGAGTATCCGCGGAAATCAAAACATTAGCTGATATTATTAGATGGTTGGCTCCCGAAAAGATGCGAAAACCTAAACAAGGCACACAACAAAGATATAATCATCAATGTGAAATGTTCAGGTGATGAAATATTTAACAAACTTTTAGCATTAACCTTTTTCTTATAAAGCTATTAACCTATTGCGTTTTTGGGCATAGTTTTGGAATGATGCTTTGGGAGCTTTGTCATCAAAGGTTTCCTTATAATGACCTGAAAGATGTAATTGAAATCCAAGAACGTGTTTTGAATAAAAAACGAGAAGTTCTTGAAAGCACACTTTGTCCATCACCAATTCCAAAAGAACTTTATAAACTCATTAATATGGGTAAACATTTTATCTCACAACTTTACATTTGCTTAAGTCGTCCGTTTAACTATGCATTAAAATTAACTTTTTATTCATCAAGCTTGGGATAATGAACCTTCAGCACGTCCTTCGGACATGGAAATGCAACAGAAACTTAAAGAACTTTATCAAGAGCATGTTTTTAATAAAGGAATTTCTCCTCATATACAGCCTAAAAAAGTTGATTCTAGTGACGTCCCAAATTTAGAGCTTTCAAGAAATTTCCAAGAAAAAGTTTGCATTAGCACCGACCCTCAACAACCTAATAAAGAATTTGAATCACCTGACGATTTTAATGATTTCAATATAGAAATACCTATGATACAACCTTTAATACCTTTCGAAGAAGGCATTAAAGCACACAAAGCAAGAAATTTCGAGACGGCTTGGAAAAGTTTTGAGAGTAATGCAAAACTTGGAAATAATATGGCAAAATATTGGCAAGGATATTATTTATTAAATGGAACAGGTGTAAAAAAGGATCATGCAGCTGCACTTAAGCTTTTCAAAGAAGCAGCTGATAATGGTGTGCCTGATGCTCAACTTCGATATGCATTTGCTCTTCTTGAAAATAAAAATAATCTGGATGTACCGGAAATAATGAAGTATATGACTATGGCAGCAAATTCAGAAAATTCTACTGCACTTTTTAACTTGGGAGATATTTACTGGAATGGAAAGCTTGGGGTTGAAATTGATAAAGTAAAAGCTGAGTCATATATTAAATTGGCAGCTTTGAAAAATCAGCCTAAAGCTATTCAATTTTTGGAAAAAATTAAGGCAGAAAAGGCTAAAAAATAAGATTTTAATGAACAAGTTTGATAACAAGGGACGTTTTTATTTCAGGAATTTGAAATGCTGCATCAATTATTTATATGAATTGATACATCTAACTTTTGTTTACAAAAAATTTGATAACTTAATCTTAAAACAAAATTAAATATAAATTTTAAACTTTAAATGCATATTTTTAGAGCATAAACTGTTTTTAATGATTTTTAAATGATTCATTGTACAACTTTTGAATACTATTAAAAACTTGTATTTTTTCAACTTCTGTAAAATTAGCTACGTATTTGGGATCTCTACTAACAAATGCCTTCGAGACTATGATTTGTATGTCGCGAAGGATCACTTTGTTAACAAAGATCCCAAAACTTTTCGATGATCTTTAATTGTTACTTTATTTGATTCGCCAAAGCATGACTCGTGAGCTGCCGTTTGGAAAGAAAAGATGTCCAATAATTTTATAACTGAGTTATAGCTACGTATATCGAACATTAGAAAGATCCCACAGTTAATGGATCAATCAGCGGATTTATCACAAAATTTCATGACCTGATGCTTATTTATATAATAAAAACGTTATTGAAGAACTTATTTTTTGTATTATGTCTTTTGCCCAACATAAATTCAAAAGAACTTTGACGAGTTGTCATCATTCTGACCTGTAAAAATTTTGAAAATTATAATTTATAAACATAAAAGTAAAGGAATATGATATTTCTTTGAATTCTAAACAATAATATTAGAAGCTAAAAGTTATAGAGAAATGAAGGCAATGTACTTTTTGAAAATAAAGAGTAGTAATGTTAGAAATGATGCTTTTATTCTATTAAAAACTTATAATTTTATTATCATTATTAGAATTTTTTAATTGGAGCAATAAATTATTTGGACTGATTAATGCGCCACCAACATTCAAGAATTGCAAATAACACATGGAGTAATCTTTAAACGGCCTATAAATTTAAATAATGGTTTAGAAAGTACAGTCAGACCTCTCTAAGTGCACCCTCTATAAGTGCATACCCTCTCTAAATGCGCACTTAAGTGCCGACCCAAATATATACTTGACCTCCATAAATGCACTTTTTCTTATTACAGTCAGACCTCTCTAAGTGCACCCTCTATAAGGCGAGACCAACTGGATTCTGTGTTTTACATTACCCCACCCCCCTCCTCTGGGGTCCCCCCTCTCCATCATAGTAAAAAATTTTTGATAAATATACATAGGGCTACGGGA